ACTGTCAGTTACCGAGGAGCTTACTCCTAAGAGGCCACGACGATCTCCGACTCGAAAAGAACGAGACAGTGCAACGCAGGACTTCTACACACACCCACACGCCACTGTCCACACGCAGACTGCCTCCCCACTAGGCAAAAAGCACAAACGACACAAACATCGGCGAAAGTCTCGTGGGGAAAAAGTTGTGGCCGAGTTGGTAGAGCCCAGACGGGTCGAAGAACAAGAATCCTATCTAACTGTGGATGAAATAGCTTTATTCTTGCAAAGAAGTCGTGGCGAGGACTCAATGTCTTCTGCGCAAGGTCAGGATGGTACAGGAAGCTCAAAGAAACGTCGTGGAGGGAGAGATGAGTGTTTTGAGAAGGATAGTGTGCGGACAAATGCGTCCGTTGTGAATGCCCCCCTGCGCTTTCGTTCAAAAGACATATACGACCCACTGCCCTCGTCCAGAGACTCTTCACCGCTGCTGTAGTTGACTTTGCCCCCCTTGCTTGTTGTTTCCTCCTGCTGGAGGCCCCTTATAACCGGCACCTCCATGGCGATCTTTTTTACTTATAGTGCAGTCCCGGGTTGTGTCTCGTTCGCTTCTTGCCGTTGAGCGCATTTTTCCTAATGGTTTTTCTCGTGATTATGTTTTCCGTGTTTACATTTTGTATTTTTACACTCCCCTCTCTCCCCCTGTCCTCTGCTTCTTCTTACCCTTCTCCCTCCCTCCTGCCTTGCTTTTGTACAGCCAGACGTCTCGCACAATGAAGCTTTTGCATTTGTCGCAAGATTTTGGTGGGCAGGGGGGGGGGGTTGAGTATGGGCCGACCGTCCGACTACGTATGTGGGGGTTTGTAGCAGAACTGCGCTCTGCAGCGACAGTTAGTGGGCTTCTTGTAATCAGACGACCCCACCAGGAAGAAGGGAATATTAACTACGTCGAGCAGATAGGGGCGTCTGGGCTAACTGGGAGGGAAAACGCCCTGCATGAAATTGGAGCGTCCTGCGGCATATGTTTTCTCCTGTGCCATGTCATAGCCAGCTATATTTTATGGTGGAAGTGTTGGGGCTGTCCCAACTGACCCATGCCACCAACAGTCTGGGCATGGGAGGCTTGTTTTGCAATCTCAGCGCAAAAGTTGTTTTGGGTGTCGAAATGGAGGGAGTATCGACTACTTCGCTCAGTTGGCTGAAATGGCTCGGAGGCGGGTTGAGCACCCGGCTCTAGTTCCGGGAGGATGGACGGTTCGAGTCCTTCTCGCAGCCAACATTCTTCGACTGTGAAGCCGCCCATTTCTCAACCTGCCTTAGTGGCGCATTCGTGTCAGACGTAGTTCATCGGGGGTTATTTTCGAGTTCAGAACCAACCCACCAGTCCAGCCGCAGGGCTCCAAAGTTGTTTGGGACAAAACAGCACTTTTGACCTTGAAATCTGCAGTTTCCGTATGCACAGAACTCGTGGGTTGTTGGTCGTCTTATTGGCACTTTCCAATCAAGGCAGGCTACATGGGTAGGGTAACTAAAACGATTAGCGGTGGAAATAAACCCAACCCATTTCCTGCGCGGCAGCACGCTGGGCTTCGACAAGGCATCTTTCTAACCATCTGCGTAGGTTGCTGTGATTAGAACTCATCACTGTGCTGATTTTCTGCTTTTCGGTGCCTGTATCAGTTGAGTCATGTTTTACGGATGAGTTGTCCGAATTGCTTATTCGTAAACATACTTGAAGGAGGGGGGTAATTTACTTACAGTAGCTGTGCTAACTCATGAAATGTCAACCAAAATTTCGAAATGCGTTCTCTTTTCGAAAAGATAAATTAAGTAGTGTTATGAAACTAATCATGATGCAGCATAAATCTATAATGATCCAGTTACCACAGGGTGCCGGCTTTCGAAAGAACTTATTTTCGGCTGCATGCAAGATCTATACTGCAAAAAATGACTACTTAAGTAGCATGCAATTTTCTCATTGAGCTTCGATGCCCTTGAAAATTCAATTATATTTCACGGAAAACATGCATAAAAATAATCATTCTTTTACTTATTCGGTAGAAAATCACGTCTTCTTCTCAAAATAAGAATATAATTTGGTTTTAAAAAACATTTTCTAAGTCCCGTATAATTTTGAACCCTACCTGCTGTTACACTTGCATTCAGGGTTTCAAAACTACAAGCTGTATATTTTCCGTGTACGGAAAACCATGCACTTCTCTACGGTGTTAAGAGGAGGCCATATGAGGTTCATAAAATTAAGCAGCGGATTGAAGCAATATTGTTAACTTTACAAGCCACATTCGTAAATGCAGATACATGACGTTTCATGAACGGCCATTTAGCGGTATTAAAAAATCTCACCATTATAAACTTTTTTAAAACTGATTATACTCTTCTTTTGTGTATGAAATTGGAAGAAGACGTGATGTTCTACCGAATAAGTAAAAGAATTAATATTTTTATGCATGTTTTTCATGAAATATAATTGAATTTTCAAGGGCGTCGAAACTCAATTAGAAAATTGCATGCTACATAAGTAGTCATTTTTTGCAGAGTATAGATCTTGCATCCAGCCGAAAATAAGTTCTTTCGAAAGCCGACACCCTGTGGTAACTGGATCATTATAGATTTATGCTGCATCATGATTAGTTTCACAACACTACTTAATTTATCTTTTCGAAACGAGAACTCATTTCGAAATTTTGGTTGACATTTCATGAGTTAGCACATCTACTGTATATGAACCTCGTAATCCTGAGAATTTCTTAGACTCGTCTGATAGTTTGGATGTTTTTCGTCAAATTTGACTTTCTCTGTGCTTAAGTGGGTATCATCTCAATTTACTATCCTCAGCATTTTTAATGCCGCATTCAAAGGATGCAAGGGACTCACTTTCGAAAGCGTGTCAAAAATTGTTGTTCAGTATTTCCTGTGTTTGCGCGCATGCTTATTGGCGAGCCGTCAGCACCCGCTGAAACAATTGTCCGAGCTCTCTCCTGGAACGCTGCGTTGGGAGCATGATTAAGCGGCACAACAGTCTGCGCAAAACGTTCTACCTTATGAGAACTAATCAGCTTATGTCGTCCAGTCATGCGGTTCGGTATTTTTGACTGATGACTTGCAAAGTCAGATGCGGCCATTCCAGTCTCTATAATCCCCACCGGTATCTTGCATCATTGTTTGTCACTACGCGATCGACTAGGAGGCCTCTAGGTTAGAATTCGAAAGCAAAGCAGTGTAAACATATTCCTCTTTGTCATCCTATCGACGAGGTGCCCAAATAGTTTTAGAATGTACAAATGCGCTCTTTTGGTAAAAAAAAATTCACCGTCACCGACTGAATCCGCATCTCCATCTCCTGGCGACAGTTATGCTCTCTGCACAGCCATGCCACGTGCTTCCCTTTTGGGATTTTAACAGCGAAATCCAAGACGCTTTTTCCCTGGGGTGTCAACTGTCTTCCCTAAGTAATCCAGATTAAGCCTGTGATAGATCGCCAGGCCGAGCGGTTGTGAACTCTGCGTGCACTACCAGCGATGAACTAAATTGTCCGCTTTAAGTATGTCTTGCGTACTTAGTAGGTGTACACGATTTCGGGATTTCTTAAGCTATTAGGCAAGTGCGCTGTTTCTGGGGTTAGAAATGGATTTTAGGATTGTGAGCCCCGCCATACTGAGTTCTGTAAGGGCATGGAGGCGTTACGTGTCACTCGGAGTCGCCATTGATTAAGTAGGCTTTAGTGAGGGTGCCGGTCGACCTTCCGTCACGTTCTAGCACTATTCGAAGCGTTGTGTAGTGACGGGCACAGAGAAACAAAATGAGTATGAGCATCCTCATATTTCCAACAGCGGTGCTTATCATCCTGGCATTTGATTTTTTATGGAGATGATCATAAGGCAGTGGTTGTGGGGGTAGTCTTTGTCAGCAGTTGTCATGTCGTGATATCTTTCGGGCCCTATTGTCTTTCGATCAGCAACTCCCGCAAGACGGAGACTCTGTCACATCTTGGCCGACAGCTGCTTTGCCCGTTAAACAAGTCTGCACACTTCCCTGCGCTTTACTGCCCAGACTCCTCCCTAATCCAATCGGCTTTCTTGAAGCCCTAACGATCCTGGAGTAGCAATAGACAAGTGTGTCAGGCAGGAGTTGGCACCGTAGTCACTACATATTAAGTGAAAGTGAAAAAGTAACTTGCTGGCGAGTGGTTAGTACCACTCCTCGTGTTCAGTGTGGAGCACTTCTCCTACCTAGGTTAGACTGCAACGCTAGCACTGCCATCACCTTTTAACAGGTCGGAGACCTGGCTTCCTGGAACGGAAAAAGTTAATCTTGTTTACACACCAGCGTCTAAAAGATCCCACTGTCAAACTTCTAGTAAAGGTCCAGAAACTGCCCGTTTGTCCCAAGACAGAGTCGGACGAAAATGATGCCTCGGTTAATGAAGTCGTGGACTGTTTCGTCGTCAAAGAAACACCCTTTCAGGGATGGTGCGAAGTCAAAGTTGGCGGTCCGCCGTGAATAACGACATGGGTTTTTGATATTTTGCTATCCTACGAAAGTCCACCAGAACCCCCAACCTGTCGAGCGTCATCCCTGATCGTCGCATTTCGGAGCAAAGCGTTTTGCCATTAATTATTATCATCGTCCGCACCATAGTTGTGTTCGTGTGTTCACACCACACTTTTTGCACGTTTAGGTAAAATTTCCCTCAGTTATGAAGTGGTTTCTTGCCTCAACTGAAGCCAGTTCCAATGCCAGTGAGTACACTGAGCCTTAGGGGCATAAAAGCAAAACTTTTCATCATTATGTCTAAAAATAATAAAGATGACGTTTTTGCAGGGAGCTTATGAAAGTCCGTAAACAATAAGTAATACAAGCATGAAATCTGGGGTGAAAAGGCTAAAATCTAAAACTGAATATGAAAGTCGACAATGCCTACTGAAAGGTCGGCGTAGGAGCATAAAAGTTTTGACTTTTTCCCCTCTTCCCAAGATCGCGCACCAGTCTTCCTTTTTATGCTACTTCTTTCCTTTCCCCTTTCCGGAACTCTTTTTCTTCCCTTTTGAATCCTTCGATTTACTTTTCGATTTGCCCTTTGACTTGCCCTTTGGTGATTTACTTTTCGGCTCTGGTTGGGCCAGACTCTTTCGTTTGTATCTTGCAATCCAGCTTTCCGGTAAAAGTACTTCATCAGCCAGTGGTTCTGTTATTGCGCTGACCGTACGACTCAGACCCATTTTCTCCGGATTTGCCCCCGGTGGCTCAGGCAATCCGCTGTAGGCCATCAAAGGATCAACAATTACTCGATCAAACGGTACATCCTCGAGAATACCATAAGTTTCATCATACCACCTGAGTTCTGTCTGATCTGCTATCAGATGCAGCTTATTGTTCCATCTGTCCACTACGCAGGCACATCCATTTTTAGAGAGAGCAAAGTGACCGGGCCGAATGGGTTGGTAGGCGTCAATCTTCCAGGAGCCCATGAAGCAGGTTGATCCGTGCTCCAAGGACGGCGCCAGGGGACCGGGCGTCCTCTGGTTGACATTGAAAACGTGAAAGAAACCGGCCTTAGAATCAGATACGACCAGGATTCCAAAGGTATCCACTTGCAGCCCAAAGGGTTCACCGAAGGACAGTCGATCGAGTCCTAAATCCCCGTATATTACGACATTGATGACGTCAATCCTCGAGAGGACTTCGTTGGTGTTCAATCGAAAGACCTGGACTCGTGGTGGCCTGGTAGCAGCCACATATAGGTAGTCCTTGTAGAGAGCACAACCACCCGAGGTTGCAAGGTGGACGCACGTTCGCTCATCGGGGAAGGCATTTTCAAGTGTGGTGTTATAGGATGCCAGGGTTACGGGGTTGTAGATTTTCAGCTGTTGAATAGGCTGAAAAAGGACAACCAGAAACCGCATATTGGCACACATTCCAATTGGTGTAGACTCATCAGCAAGCGAGTACTGGCGTGGTTCAGGTGACTTGCTACCCGGGTAAGTGGATGTTGGTATTGTAGCTGGGTCGGTGGCCTCATACTTGAAATTCAGCCTCCTCTCCTCTTTGAGGCTCTCTGGGTCATAAAGGACGAGTGCCGTGGAACGAGCATTGGGGCCCGTCAAGAGGGCAGCAATCCGACCGGTTCTCGGGATTTCAATAATCATTCTTGGTTCTCCCTTGGTAATGATTGGTTGAGGCAACCGAGTGATCCTTCCGTTCACGGGCTCAAACTTGTAGCGTTGAATGCGTCGTTGTTGTGGATCCGATACCCAAATTTCACCCCAACTAGTGATCGTGGGACAATACGGGGACCAGTACCATTCTTTGTAATCGAAGTGCAATCGGTTTGCATAGGGATACCAAACTTGACGTCGAACTTTCCAGAGGCAATGAGATTTCGGTGGATCTGGCGGCGGAGGTGGTGGCTGAGGTTTCACCCACACGTAGGGCACCTCAGGGGGTGTGGACTTTTTACTTGACTTAGGTGACTTACTGTTCTTTTTAGAACCTGATTTCTTCTTGGGCGATTTAGATTTTTTGGAGGGCATCTGGCGAGCCTATGTTGTGCACTTTCCCATGGGGCACCCAGCAGGCCACGAGAAGTAAGCCACCCAGGGGATCGATAAATTGCGACGCGGCAATTTGAAAGCAGGTCTGGGTGATGCGCATGCATGTCTATCATCAAAACAGACAGACGCCAGTGGACATTCTAACTACGGTTGACCAGTTGAGACAAAAACCGCTACCTGTTTTGAACAAGGCAAAGGCGACGAAGTATGCGGAATTTATTGACGTCATTAAATTTCGTGACCTCTTATTCAAATGCACATGGTCATTGCGTATTTATAAGATAAGGTAAACTGTTCAATCAGAGATAGGCCTAGCGGGGTGAAACATGATAGGTAAATGAAACATAGAAAGTTGGTCTGATATACGAGTGCGCATGGCGAGGGGGACAGAGGGGAAGGGAAGTTATCTGAGCAAGCGAGTTTACATTACAATGAAAACCTGTCAGGCGTGATTAAAATCCAAAACACTGGACAGCAGTCAGTCATGCGGGGGGAGGGGAATGAGAGTACGGATGTGGGAACTGGGTTACGTCATTATCGATCCTTACCATGGCAGTAAGAGTTTGATCATGTGATCCAGCTGCTTAGAGAGTTCCGGTTTTCCCCTCCGTATTGCAGCGGCCCCGGCAAAGCGCAGGAGACGCCCAGTCGTCGCCCGAAGACCTTAACTGCAGTCATTGGTCCACCGTGTGGCCCGTGTTCACTAGGTGCTTCGTAATTGAACTTCTGTGTATCTTATTCTCCGCCCTTAACAGCCACTTGGGCATGTGTTAAGCCGACCGAACTCCCAACTGCCTTTGTGTGCGCCCAGTGTATTTGCATTCGCAATTACATGTAAACTCGTAAATACAGTTTGATGTGGTGTGCATCGGCAGAATGTCTTCGGCTGGTCTAACTGGAATAGCCGTTATGATGCTTATGAATAACAATTTAGAGGTGGCGTAAGTCCGTTCAATCGTGCATCGAAGTCGTCGCTTGATCACATTTGACACATTATCACCTTTGAAGGGGAGGTAGATGCTCATCGGCTCCTTCGGCACAGGATTTCCATGTCTGGGATGGCGATACTTATCAATGAACTTCTCCGGATACCCGTTTCCAAGGAAACGTTCTTTAGGAAGCTGAATTCGTCGTCGATCGTATCTGGAGAACAGATCCTAGTGGCTCTATTTAAGAGGCACAAAACCATGTTTCGTTTTCTCTGAATTGGGACGAAACTAATTAAGTGCATATACTGTCCTTCCTAGATGGTTTTTCGATAGATGGATCTCTGAATGAAACCATCTGCTCGCTTGCGTACAAGAACGTCTAAGAAAGGCCATGTGTTGTCTTTCTCATGCTCGATCGTAAATGTGATCCGTACAAACGACTTTTCCATGTTGATTTCGCCACTTTTGCCCGCCAACAACTGAAGCAATAACAAATCAACCCGAAGACCCCGGAAAACCGCACACAGAGAGGCTCACCGGATAGACGCTGTCGAATAAAAAAAGAGTTCACAAGCTCCAGGCACCCCTGAGCCTCACCGGCAAAATCCAACCCCTCCCAACATGTGCGCTTTCAACGAGCATTCTGCGCGGACCGGCCTCGTTGGAAACCACCGGTTCCAATGCGCCAACACTTCAACGACCCCAAATGCTGCTTCTCCGACCGCCCCTGATCCAACCCCCACGGCTTCCACGACGACCTCCATTACCACCGGTAGTCATAATTCGGTGCTTCACCGCCGTCGATCACTAATATCCTCCTCATCTCTGTCATAACCTCTGCGGTGACGACAACCACCACAACTCCCACTTCCACCATCTGTCAAAATTCTCCAGTGTGTTTGTGTGGGACGGCCAATTAGTGGGCTGAAGGTCGGACTGCAATGACACATTCTTAATGTGACGCCTCTGGCATTCCCAGTCAATGGGATCCAGGCCGTCCCCCTTTTTCTTGTTACGAAACACCCTGTGCAGTGTACATTGTGGACTAGGAGGTGTGCTGGTACACCTAGGTCCGGGTTTTCGCAGTGCCAGCCAATCCCATTCTCTCCCGCCTCCGATATTTTTCCCTCTGTCCTGACAACGGGCCCAGCTGAGGGAGGAGAGAGAGAGACTGCAGGGGTGATGCGAAGGTCTACTATCATTCTGAACTAACTCACGCGCAAGTCGCTGTCCCTGATTTAACCCTGCTGTGGAGCACGCGGTGGACATCGCCGTGGACGGGGGATTTTGCACGAAGCCGATGAAGTTTGATATACGGGGTTTTTGTGTTGGCGGCAAGGATTTGACTGTCCAGGCAGGAGGTATGAATGCGGGGATACCTTATGTGTCCCGTCTTCCCCCTGCAGGTCGCGGGAGGAGAAACGCTCTTCCTCCGTAATACCGGCGGTTTTTCGCTAAATTCCTGGAAGGTTTCCTATTCACGTGTCCCTAAGTATAACCCAAACTTTGACCCTAACCCTGCCTTAACCTTAAATCTAACCATAAATTAAACCCTAGCACAAACCTTGACCCGGACAATAATTTAGCTGAAATTTGACCCAAAACCACCTGTCTCACGGGGTGTTCCTATTCCTGTGCCCTGAGGGGGAAGGAATATAGGCAATCCTTGCCCATATGAGTTTTAGGTTGCCTCCGTCCGCCGGTTTGAGTGTGAATTTTGCATAACTTGTGGTTTAGCCGGCCCGTTCCACGCAACTGGTCCAGCAGCCGATAGAGTTTGACATGTGCTCAAATTTATTGTGCCTCCAAAATGCAAGCTGCAGTCTGCAGGATAGATTGAGAACACTTGGACTACAACCACGCCGATGAGAGATCGAATAAATCGCCCTGATTCGACTGGCCACCTGGCTGTGTTAGCCACTGACGCCTCGTCGTGTGACTGATCCAAATTTCATCGGTTGTAGCCGCAGTCAAAATGCTGTGTCGAGGTCCCATGCGAGCAGAGCCATTGCTGAGTCATCTGCCGACGTCGCCGTGCCCATTTTCGCCACGCCTCTGGCCGGGATTCCGGCGTGGAATCTGATAGGCTGGTTAACTGATTGCTGGTCAGAGGTCTGCTTCGCTGCGCGTGTTGCCTATGCCCAGGCCGACCGCCCCCAAGGCCTGCGCCAGGAGGTGATATTGGCGTTCGAGCTTTGCGCCTCGAGTCTCCGCTTGTGCAGGTACCGGGGGGGGGGAGGGGCCGCAATGCCATTCTCGTTTTCTCGGCGTGCTTTTTAGTCACGCCTCCACCGTCGATCCTGTACATCCTTTAGCAGCGTCGCGTCCCGTCGGAGTCTGGGCGACACCTTGGTAGTAGCACTGGGCCGTAACCTTCTAGAGACCGCACTAGATGATTCCCTGCTGTTGCAGAGGCCTTTCAGAGCTGCCATTGTCCTTGCTTTGGACGTTTTGTACCCCTGTGGTTTCTACAATGTCGGAGTATGGCGTACCAGCTAAGTGGCTATAACCAAGTGTACCAAACACCGCGAAGGCCCTAGCAAAGCGAAAATTGTCTCACGGGGAACGCTGAAGAACCCACTGATGAGCCGAATCTCTCACAGCTGTGTCATGCAGCGGCAAACTATCGGCGAAACACGTGTCAAGTATGGTATGTTGTGCTACCCAAGCATGTGGGTATAGTCATTGAGAGGGAGTACGGAGGCAGCTACAGAAGGTGTTGTCCAGATCTCATTTACTATGACGATACGTGCTGCCAAGTATGCTTTGTCGTGCTATCTACGCATATACCACTGGCTGCCTGTTGGCGATTTATTCCGCGGTTATTCCGCTGTGGCTGATGGACTTCGGCTGAAATATTAATATAAAATTTAAGTCTTACCCTATCAGTCTCAAATAGACTGATCTACTCCAAGATGGCGATTGCTTTCTGAGGAAACTAAAAAGCCGCGAAAATGATCTATTTTCGCATGTGGGTAATTCGTTAAGACTGTGACAACTGCGAATTTCTCAGGCACTGCAGTGTTTTCAGTGTCTATGCGAAGGAATTTAGCCATTCAAGTAGCAGATGCTTACTGCGAGACGAATACAAGTCACCGTCAGTGCGGATCTACTTCAGATGTTCTATCCTTCTAAATTACTTACATAACGATCTTATTGCCGTCTCCCAATCCAAAATGCATTTGCGAAGCAGTATATCTGGACACGGGCAATTATTATTGGTCAATTGAGGAGCAGACATTTGGCATAGTCTGTCATTTTAGGAACCCAGACACTTATTGGGGCAGTTTGTAGTAAATTACGGAAGTCATGCAGCGAGAAAATTATACTTACTATCCCACACAGTCTGTTTTCGTGAGCATATTAAATACCATAGTTAGAAGAAAAATTAGTCCTTTGGAAAATTGAACAAACTTTATTCCGTAAAGTTTCGACGCTATGGTCGTCGTCAGACCTGGGGAACCAGCGTCGAAAAGTTACGGAATAAATTTTGTTCAATTTCTCAAAGGATTCATTTTTCTTCGAATTATGTTTCTTGAGATGCCCATCTTCCGGTCGATACCGCAGTCTACAGATTAACTTAAGCCCTTGGCACTGGCTTTTTAATTTGCCTCCTGATTGCCCTGACGTCTTTATGGACTGGTTGGGAATCTGATTCTGACCGCGGAGCTCATGAAACATCAACCAAAATATTAAAATACCCATTCGGAAGACAGTTAGCACATGAAATAAAAGAGCACTGGAATTTTGGTTTTTATATGATCCTCTGTCTAGTTACATTTGCAAATAGAACCCCAAAACAAATCTCTACTTCGATGACACCTTATGAACCGGAGATGACCACTCCAGTCTCCCTTGCCTTTGTCGGTAATCCATTCAGCATATGCTTCCTGTTTGTTATGCGAATGCCCTTGTGGGCTATAGACTGAGTCCCAAGACACAACGGGACGAGTATATCCCGTAATCGGATCGGCCAGCACGATTCCAGCATGGCAAATCACCATCTTGTTGGTGTGTATTCTTCTTATTGGTCTTCCCTACTTGGAAAATTACAATCATGCTTCAAAAAGACATTCATACGTTCGGATTGTTGGAAACTATGTTTTATTTGGCGTCGGTGCTTAGAGGAAGTACTTATCTCGGTTTTATGCTTGTTTTGATAATTACTATTGCCCGTCTTGCATTCTTTCCATAAAGCAAGTCGCTGTACCTCATGTTCGTATGAAGGGTCCTGTAATGTCCACCAAATATTTAAAAATTTGTGAATAATAATATAACATTCACTGAAAGCAGTAATGTCAAAACTATCGATATTTGACTGCACGACTGATCATGGAAGCGTTCCAAAAATTAACATAGGCACAGTTTTCCAGGTAGAGGTAGTCGTTTTTTTCAAATATGAAATTTAGGAGGACTCACTCGCCTTTGAAGTCGGTGTAAGAAATTATTTTTGGGTATCCTTCCTAGGAAACGTGGCCCAAGTTAAATAAACACCTAAAATCAATATAAGCCATGGAAACTACGTATGAAACGGTTCTGCCGGTGTGATTTACGTAATTGATTAGGAAAATCCTCGACCAAATTTTAAACTAAAAACGAAGAATATAAACAGTGTATGCTTTCAGTTAATCTGGCATTTCTGTTTCCCCTAAGGCTTTTAATCTACATGCTACATGTATGTATTTCGATAATTCCGTATTTGTGCGATCGAGGTTTTTTGGTGCTCATAAAATATTACACAGACTTCATTTTCGGTTTGTAAACGCGTTATTAAACCTACATATATTAAAAATAGTCGATAAATCTATGAGCCTGTCAAAGTTGCCCTCTTCCTAAAGTACAGAAACACTTCAATTCTTTCGGTATTGAATTCGTTGTACCCTTTTTAGGACATGCGATTGTAGTATACAGTCAGATAAAATCTATCAAAATATCACATGACCTATACAGGTATGAACTTCCTCCTGAATGTAATTTACACCCGTGGCGGGAAATATGTCCGACTGGATGAACTGTCTTGGAATTATGTTTTATGATAGTCAGTGCTACAGCCCCATCGAAGTAATATTCCCTATTTGAAAATATATCTAATATGAGATGGAGCCGACAAAGACAAGGGAGACCGGAATGGCCATTTCTGGCTTATTAGCCGTCATCAGCCAGTCATACCCAACCCCAAGTGTGGATCACTTGAGATTCGAACCTGGGATCTTTGTCGGCTCCATCTCATCTATGTCTACTACTAGTCGCTGTGCGACTGCCTGCGAGGGTTCTAGTGTGAGCCCCAAGGCACAACGGAACGAGCATGTTCCTTAACCTGATCGGCGAGAGCCCACTGTCATAATATATCTAATATGTTTATTGTATGATTCGCGAATTTTGGTACTGACAATATTTATGATATCATTGGATGAGCGTTCGTCCTCGTGCGTCTTGGCGCCCAATGATGAGCCCTCTTAGGCAGTCGCAAAGTGATTGTCGGTAATCCAGGAAGGAATATCAACAGGAATTGAGCCCTAAGGCCAAACGGGTCGAGCCTATCACGCAACCTGATCGATGAACGGCCATCCTACGATACTGAATATTTCCACTTACAACCGACAACACAACGGGATCATGGTTCGATGGTAGAGCATTGGACTTAACGCTCAGTGGCCAAAGAATCTTGGTTCAAATATCAGGTCATGCAAACCTGGAGTTTGCCATGGCTGGCTGACGACAGCTGGCAAACCGGAAACGGCCGCTCCAGCTTCTCCTACCTCTTTCGCTATTCCTTCCTGTGCTTATGGTGGGTATGTCACTCTAACTGAGACCTTTTACCTAAACTTGTTTTGCGAGGCATGGAAAAGAGATCATTCGTTAAAAACCTGTGTCAGACTCTGTTATGTGAAGATCTCCTTTTCAAAGAGAAGTTCTCAAAAATTGAACTCCGTGTTTGCTTCGACCCTTTTTGTCTTTAGTTTAGTACTCTCTGACTTTCAACTAATAGTAGGATAAGCTTTCCTACAAAAAACCCTGAAGTAGGAAAGAATGCGAAAAAATGACGAAGGCTGACCTTATACAGGACTCCAGGGGTGGATAGCTTACCAACGAGCCTCTCCATCCGACAAGAAGAAATCATAGGACAGTTTTTATTCAACAAACCGTCGAAAATTGCAACCGCATAAAGAACGTGAATGAGCGGTCTTTCAACATCATGCAGTATGCCAGTTACTTTTTGCGTTTGGAATTTGGAGAACCTTTTCCTTTGGACTTTGGGGATCCCTTGCCCTTGCCCTTCCCTTTCGACTTACCCTTCGGCGACTTAGACTCTGGTTCTGCTGGCGGCTGGCCTTTCCTTCTGAACCTGGCAACCCAACTCTCGGGCAGGATGACTTCATCGGGATAGGGTTCGGTTAGATTACTAATTCTCCGCTGGAAAACAGGGTTGTCACCTGTTGGTGATGGCGGCCGAGGAAGTCCATCGCGAGGCATCAGGGGATCCACTACCTCACGATGGAATTTTAGGTCTTCCAACACACAGTATGTATCGTCGTACCATCTCAGTTCAGTTTGATCCATTATAAGATGGATTTTGTTGTTCCATCTGTCCACAACACAAGCGCATCCATTTTTTGAAAGACTGAAGTGACCCGGCCTAATGGGTTGGTAGGCGTCGATCTTCCAAGAACCCATGTAGCAAGTGGATCCATGCTCCAATGAAGGTATCCATGGACCAGCCGGTCTGTGTCTTACATTGTACACGTGAAAGAAGCCTGCTTTGGAATCCGACACCACCAACATGCCCAGTGAATCCACTTGCACACCGAACGGCTCACCGAAGGACAATCGATCAAGCCCCAAATCGCTGTAGATCACCACATGAATCAAATCGACCCTTCCTAGGACCTGGTTGTCATGCAGTTTTAAGACCTGAATTCGGGGCGGTCGAGTCGATGCAACGTAGAGGTAGTCGTCATACATCGCACAACCCCCAGAGCTGGCTAGGTGAATGCATGTATTTTCATCCGGGAAGGCATTTTCCAGCATAACGTCATAAGGTGCCAGAGTCACAGGATTGTATATTTTAAGGCGCTGGAGTGGTTGAAAGACAACAACCAGGTAATTTAAGTCAGCGCACATTCCAATCGGAGTTGACTCGTCGAGCAGTGTGTATTTGCGCGGTTCCGGTTCTTTGCTGTCTGGTAGAGTGGACGTCGGAATCTCAGCCGGATCAAGAGCTGTGTACTTAAACTCGATCCTCTTTTCCTCTTTCAGTTCAATTGGGTCATAGAGGACCAATGCGGTAGAAAGGGCCTTTGGACCAGTCAGGAGTGCTGCGATTCTTCCGGTCCGAGGAATCTCGATGATCATTCGGGGTTCACCTTTTGTGATTATAGGTTGAGGGATCCGCTTAATTTTGGCACTCACGGGATCAAGAGTG